GATCCAAGCCTTCTCTCATTCAAGGACTTCTGTCATGCTCAGGTACGTCAAAGACTGCTTTGATTTCTGGGATGTCTGTGTACGAGCTGGACCTGCATCAAATCTACCTGCAGTCTGGCTGCAATATCAAACTATCCCATTTAATTATTCAAAGGTTTCAGACGAGAGGCCTTTAGTCTTTTGCAGCAACTAGGATGCGATCAAAATAATTTCTTCTTTTGCGAGGTAAAACAATAGCCTACACACAATCAGTCTCGAAATGATCCTTTCAGAGGCATTTTCATGGGGTGACCATCTGTTGAATGGGCAAATTTCAAATGCTTTATCACTCACTCACTTTCTAGCACACAAGCACACACCCGCAGAGCTTTCTGTGGCTGTGTGTTGTTAAATTCCAGCTGTGGGCATGACAGTGAATCATTGATGGGTGAATGGGATAGTTGATTCTTCTTGGAGCTCGGTCTGAGGAATACCAAGAGCCCAGCAATGAATTTTGAAATGTGAAGTCAGAGTAGAGAGCGAGAGAGGGGAGGGGGGGCTTTACTCTCTCTCAGCCAGGGATCAGAGGCCTGTATGAATGAGTAATGCTCCACACACACAAACACACCCTGCACTTCTCTTGCTACATCATTCTCTCTTATTCTGCCTTTTATTCTTCATTTTGTCACTTTCAAATCCAGTGGATGCCTTGTTGTACTGCAGTGTTTTTGCTAAAAAAAGTCAAGATCTTGCTCCACTTGATTGGTTTGAACTGCTTAGCGTCTTCTGATATGCAACAGAACAGTTTGAAACATCTGTTTACACTAGAATGCGTGAAAAAGTCCACACTTTACTTTTCTGTGCGTGATGAATGTGATAGAGGGGGAAATAACAACAACAACAAAAGCATAAAACGCAGCCAGTTTAAGCAGAGCAGAACACAAAAGCAGAAAAAGATGTGAGCAGAAGTGTAATCGATAAGAAACTGGTTGCTTTTTTGGATGCGGAAAGAGGAGGGAAATGAAGACGGGAAAGCAGACAATAGGAGGAACTTTAGTGGGAGACTAGTAGGAGGTCGGAGGTTTCACTTAAAAGTCGACGAGACAGCTCATTTAAAGTAAGAACACGAGGCAGTGCTCTTGGGAGCTGGTTGCCTACGCAGAAAGTATACACAGGAATTCTGTGCTTCAAAAGCAGTTTACACAGAAGTTCCCTGACTCTGGGGAATAAATCAATTACAACCAATATTCACATACTTTCTTTAAATTCAGAAAGAACATTTATTTTAATTTAATGGCCATGGTTCATGTTTTGTTTTGGAACTAAATGGCAAAAGGATCTGTTGTTTCCTGCCTAAGATGCAACTTTCATCTTCCATCATCATTTTGTTTCCTGTAACAGTGCAACATTTGTCATCATTGAAGCATTACTTGAATTGGATTTATGTAGACTACAAAGTTTTTTAAAACATACTGCACTAGCAATGAAATAAAAGGGTTCTTTACAGTTGAAAAGACTGAGCAGGATGTATGAAGAAGGCAGTGGTGTTTTGATCCTTGCTAGTGGCAGAGCTTTAGGGATGGTGTAGGACCTTGTCCTCGT